CAAAATTTGCAAGTTCATAAGTTGGAAAACATATTTTTAGCACAATTATTTCACAGTTCTGATCGTGTCTCATTTGGAAATGAAACTGTTTTAATAATCACTATAAATAATACGAGAAAATAACTTAATACATCTGAAAATTAAAAACTTAAAATTTATTTTAAAGTCCTTATTATAAAAGGAGACAACTTAGGTCTTCACTCTATTTTTGGTTTAAATGTATGTTTTAACTTCAATTATTCCTGCAGATTTCGTGTGTGTACAAAGAAGGAAATGAAAACACAGACTAAAGAAAAGGTTTAAAAATTACGCCTGATAACTGATTATATTTCCCATTTGAATAAAGTGACTTTTGGTATTAAAGAGTTTTGTACATTTTATAAATTAATTGACTTTTATGTCTATAACAAACTGCTAGTTGACATAATGCATGACTTATATGAAGAAGTATGTTTTGGAAAAGAAATAATTTATAATAATGAAACTTGATAGTGAAAACATTATTACCTATAGAAAAACCTTAGGGGGTACCATTCTTAAAGAGTTTACAACATTTTTGTTGGGAATGATATTTCCAAAAAAAGTAAATTTTGAAGATCGCTCGGCAGCAGATTTTGATACTAATTTGAATATATATATATATTTATATATACATATATATATGATCATACCCTAAGAAATTTCTTATTTGACATCCAGAAAAACTCTCCTCTCAATGAGCCAGGTAAATATAGATGATATGTTTTTCCACAGCCAATTATTGTTACGTAGGGAAGGGTACAATTACTCAGTATAACTTAATACTGGATATTAAAATAATTAGCCAAATATAATTGAATTAAGAACAAGGCTTACTCATAAGGAACCTGCATAAAAAGTAATTTAAACTTTGTTGCCTTTAAATAACCTTTATGTTTTAAAATGTTTAATGCAAAATATGACTTTTTAAAGTGGTTAAAGAAGCTACTGTCAGTGTAAATAATTTATTACCTCAGAAATCAAAGGACAAATATAAACATTGCTATAAACAATTTTTGTATTGGAAAATCAATAAATGTGCAAAATCGTTTTTCGAAAATGTTGTTGTTTCTTACTTTAACAAGCTATCCAATACAAAATTATTTAGAAGATTTATTCGATGCTTCGTTCTACAATTACAATTACACCCAAATTATCAATTATCAAATTATTACAATGCAAAATAAACCAGTTACCTGCCATACCGGTCATAAAATGGTTTTGGCAATACAAAAAACTTAAATCAAAACTGTCAAAAACATACTTGATTGCTCTTAGGTTAAAATTATATAAGCGAATAGTAAATTTGTACGTAGTAGTAAAAATAATGTCTTACACACGTTTGGAATTGCATATTCCACTCTCGTGAAACCGCCACAATTGCATTCGGCTCGTATGTCAAATTTTTCCATCGAAACTTGTTACAAAATGTACCTGCGCTAACGATCCCTGTAGAATTCTTCTATTTTTTGTACCTATTTTACCAAGGGCTGGAATTGCATATTCCACTCTTGTGAAACCGTCACACTTGTATTCGGCTACGAAAATTCTATTTGGGATCGAGGACAAGTTTTTTAAAACCGACATACAGCATTGTCATTGACTAAAAAGTTTTGTATTGCCGTAAATGTCAAAATGTGACTAGACAGAGGGACTAGAGAGACACTAGACCTGACATGGGACGAGAAGACCAAATCCTTGATACCCCAAAAAGACTACTAAGATCAAGAAGACATTCTCTAGTCAGGTTAGCCCTTCTAAATCATACAAAAAAGTAATGCCCGGAAGCTTTCGTTCTAAAGAAGCCTTATGGTAAAGCCACTAGAACAAAATACCAAGAAGGAAATGAAGATCCTCTCATTAAAACTCCCAAGACATCTCAAGGTTATCAACAGAGTTGCGATCCAAAAGTGTCTGGAGGTACATAGACTCAAAGACATCCCTAAATTGACCTTCGACATAAAAACCCAAACCACGGATACTTAACCCACCAAAAAAAAGTCTGTGGATGCCAGACAGAGGGCCCAGACATGATACACGAGGTAAACCAACCAAATCATTATAAGGAATGAAAAACTCAACCCAAAATGATCCGGCAAGAAAACATGTACAAAAACACAGAAATCAAATTAGGAAACCTGCGTGTTACAGGTGGTACCAAACGACCACGAGATGGACAAGGATGTACAGGGTGTCCCAAATTGGTTGTCCGTATAGGGTCATATCTCTTAACCTAAAAGAGCTAAAAAAAATCTGTCTACACTAATTAATTCTATGATAAAAAGTGCCTACATAATATTTTAAACCTGTATTCGTAACTCAAATATTAACGAAGCTACAAGCATTTTTCAAAATTGGCAAAAATTGAAAAAATAGGTATATCTCCTAAACAAATGCGAATAGAGAAAATTTAAAGACATCAACCGATGTATCTTTAAAAAAGACGACGGGGATGCGTGGTCGAATTTTTTCTAGCATTTATATTTACTGAGATAGCGTATACGGACAACCAATTTGGGACACCCTGAACAAAAAGGAAAATTATAACAATAATGAACAACGGTGCAGAGAAGGATCTTTTTAAAAAACTCAAACAGGTCAAAGAGAAAACCGCAGAGGATGAGTGCATTGCTTTCCATCAACTGGAATATATGGACACAGACAGATTAGGGAAAATTTTGGAAGGAATACTTTATAAAGTTGAAAATTTATAAAATGTGTGTTAAAAATAATGTGTGTTAAATAAAATATGTAAAAATTTACATAAACTTTTTAATGTTTATGACATAAACAATATATGTTACTTGATATACAAATTAAAATAATCAAAATTCCAAAATTTAACAAAAATAAATTTGTTAAAAGGTCTTACACAAAAAATAATGTTAAATAATTATTTTCTGTAAATTTTAATATAATAATATAGTTAATATTACAAAAAAAATATGTTAATATTTTATAATAAAGTATATAATATAATAAAAATACATTAGTTATAATGACTCTTTAACAAGTGTTAATCTAACTTAAAAATATATGTTAAATTTGGAGATACAATTTTTTTTATTCAAATTTAAACAACTGATTATTATTTTTTCGTTAAAGTAAATAAAATATTTATGTTGTTTTCTTTATTCGTTAATTACCGCCTGCTTTCGATTAAGACCGGTACCCCCCCGCAAGGCCTTTTGTTCTCGAAGCCTGTCGAACTTCGACAGTCAAAGCAGTCGCTTGATGAGTACGTAGGGTGTGATCTGTGGTGTGTTAATTTGTTAAACTAAATTTAAAGGTATATTTATATTATATTAATGTTACGTTTTATTTTTAATAAATAAAAATGTTCCTATTTTATATATTTGTTTTATTTTTTGTCAATTTTTTTGTATTAATTTATAAGTGTTTTACCAAAGGCGATTATTTGTTAAAATTGTACGTACAGTATATTACATATATTAATTTGTTTTAACAATTATTTTAATTAAATTTTACAAAAATAATTGTTTTTTTCATTTTAAGGTCATTCCGGAAAAAACGTAAAGTCCGTTACTGTTTAAGCCAATATCTTGAGAAAAGCTTTTTTCATAAATGCACCTTGTTTTTTATGAAAAAAGCTTTTCTCAAGATATTGGCTTAAACAGTAACAGACGTCACGTTTGTTTCCGGAATGGCCGTAAAATGAAAAAAACACAATTATTTTTGTAAAAGTTAATTAAAATTATTGTTAAAACAACAAATTAATATATGTTATAAGGACAAATTATTAGTGTAAAATCAACAAAAATTTAAATGTTTAAGTAACACTTTTTTGTGTAAATAAACTTAACATTTTTAATTATGTCAAAATTATAAAGATTTAAAATCAAATTAACTATTGGTTTATGTTAAAACAACAATTTTATTTTAATAAAAATAGCATAAACCTGTTTGTTAAATTAACTTTGCAGTTAAGTTAAAAAGAAAAGTTATATTCACTTTTTTTACATATTATGTTGTGTAATCAATTAACATAAGTGAAATAAGTCAATGCAACTAAAAAATTTTGAGTGGACTTTCTGGGACACAAGAAATATGTTAAAAATACATAAAAATTTTCAACCGTGTATGATCATAATACTATAGTATTATGACCATATATGGTAACAATTTACATAAACAAAGTAAACCCAGCAGAAAAAATGTTCTAGGAAAGAAGGACCTACGCTTTAGTAGTAGAAAACGGGCAAAACTCCTATGAAGACCCTAAGAAAAGTTAAATCGGCGTTAAAAGAAAAGTCAGAGACGGAATACGAAATATACCTAGTACCAAAAACCATTTGTGCAAAGAGACAAATTACAGGGACGGAAGCGGGAAATGTGCCATCTTCAGAAGATCCCTCTTAAGAAACAAAACCCCCGATGGAGCACAACAGTAAAATACTACAAGTGAATCTAAATAAGTGCCGTGCAGCACACGATCTTTTAGAAAAGTACTGCAACGACGAGGAAATAGATATTGTGATAGGTCAGAAACCAAACAAATCTCTAGTCAAAAATACAAGATGTGATATAATATGGGACTAACTGTTAATGTTCCATATACCTAAAAAAAAATAAACTATGCAAACTTTTTATTGCATAACAAAAGCAAAATGATAGAAATGGGGCTAAGAAACAACGTTAAACCATGGGTCAAAGTAGAGACCAGGTGGATTGCTAGACCAAAATCCTTTTTGCCTTTTCCAATTGAAGATTAAATTAATACATTTACAGCACTTTAACACCGACTAGGAAAGACTTTGGTAAGGAAAAAAAATATTTTAGCCGATCCCCAACACAAATTTTTATTTATAGTTTGAAAAAGACTGCTTTAATGTATCCTCATCTTACTAAAATTATTTTTAAATTTTAATGATTTTGGTAAAAAACTTGCTATATGCTAAAAATTTAGGAAGATAAAAACTAAATAAAACTATAAAAACTCATGGGTTTTAACTTAATTTTAGATGACTGAAAAAGAAAGGGACGAAATGCTCCTAGAGGAGGAGATCCTTCTCCAAGAGGAGAAAGAGAAGGAATATTCCACACATCAGGCCATCATTCAGCTAACCACGATAAAGTAATTCTTTATGAAATACAACCAGCCATAAAACATTGCATAAAATTATTAATTTTTAAACTTTTCCAGATTATACATGAAAAATTAAAATTGAGAGGGGGGCAATGTAACTTCCTTAGTAAGAAGAAAAACAACCTAATTTAAATTTTGTGTTAAATATTTAATTTTAGCCAAAGATTTTGTAAATGAAATGAAATGAATAAGGCATGTGTCTTTAAAAGACAAGGTCAAACTAAATATTCTTATAGGTTATTATAATTATTATGAGGTTAAGTTGAATTAACAATAGAAAGTAGTAGTGTAAAGGAGATGGAGAAACTCCTAATAAAACGGGTTTTACAGACCAGCAGCTTTTAAAACTAAGAGAGAAAAAGGTATGTATAAAGATTTGTTGATAAGTAAATATTTCCTTTATATATCTCTTTGGTTCGTGGTATTCTATCTAATTTCAAAGTTACAAAATTATAGTGGAACGTTGGTTGTCAAATTTTTATACAAATTTATTAAATACTTCTTTATTAAATTATGTATTAGGAAGTAAATCAATTTATTTAATTTAACAATTACTTTTGATAATATATTGAGCAAAAACAGTTCGATTAAGATTTAGATGTCAAGGGTAAGTACAAATCCAGTGTTAAACAAATTTTATGTTGCATTTCGTGATCGGACTTTAATTTTTTTTAACTTTAATGGATCAGAAATTGAATTTCCTTAAAAATAATGAGTTGCAAGGTTTATGGTGCCATCTACAATTTTAGGGTAGCTGGAGGTGAGAGGGTGCAACATAAAATTTATTTAACACTGGATTTGTACTTCTCCCTCGATATCTAAATCGACCTGTTTTTGCTCAAGATCATATTTACTATAACTCAAAAGTTATTAAGCCTGGCACGTTTTTAATTAATTATTGCAGATTTAATTTTTTAACGTAAGACACTATTTTGAGTCAAAATTATTGACATACCTTTTTTAAACGTGTTACTTTATTTAAGTTTTGTTTAGATCGAACCAGGAATTATTTTGTTGATGAGCGATACAGAGTAAGAGCACTTAGTTTTAAAATATGGGGATCGAGTTGCCCTTAAACAGTTTTGCAGATTAAAATCGAATTCAGAAAAAAATACAAGAAAGCAGTCTCTTTTAGATAATCTTTGGCAAAAGTTGCAAAATAAAAGTAACATGGATGTAAAACAAATCAACAAGGTATAAGAAACAAGTTGAATTAGCCTGGTTGTGCTTCCGGAGAAGGTGGTACAAAAAAGTCCCAAAAGATGCTGATAAAAAGTACATTCCTAAAAGAGCTCTTGATTTATTCTTTCCTGACGGAAAATCTACGAAAGAACAATTGGAAGCGTTTGACATTCATTTATTTGACAAAGTTACGGTTTTATTTAACCAGCTAGAAAACTGGTCATATTGCTGACAATATGTATGTTATATCGGCCTAACGGCATATATCAAGGACAATACGCAGTTTGATGGAAATATTCCATTGATGACTTTTATTTTGTATAAAGACTTATTGTTTTCATTATTATTCTATTTGTGTAATAACAAATTTCAATAGAACCTTTATTTTAAGTTATTTCAGTTTCATGTTAGTTTAATCTTAATTATAATCCTTGAATTTAATATAGTTCCTAAAACATATAAATAGGACTGTCTAGTTACATTCTGTATTCATTATATTTTATCTCTTATTAAGTTAACTTCAATTTAATTTCTTGTAAAAAGTAATTTAATAAAATAAATGTTGTTTTTTTAAAAAGTGCATTTTAATCTATCACATCTAACATGTATGAGCCTGTAAACAATTCTTATATAAGTAAATAAAGCACTGAACGTTATATACATTGTCATAGGCAATAGAATAGTTTAAATTTTACTTTTTTAATTTTTCGCTACAAAACATGGTTTAAAATAGTATACAGTACTCGACAGAAATTTTATTACTGTCTCGAGATTTAACTACCCAATCTCTCAAAGAATGAAACACTTTCCGTCTCGCATTGTAATATACCAACTATTTTACCCCTGTTTCATTTTAAAACTACGCCGTAACAAAGAATCTTAAATGCAATACGTTGCAAAATCGATGTCTATTAAGCACTTGATATGTTGGATCACTCTTTACACACTTAGTCCAATTTGTTGCATTAATAGCTCATGTATCGTACATCATATTTTGAAGGCTACCTGCTGAAAATTTTGGAAATATTGCATTATCTAGATCAGCGGTTCTCAAACTGTGGTACGCGTACCACAGGTGGTACGTGAATAGATAATAAATGTACTTGCCTTCAAATAAAATTATCGTTGGCTCAATTTTATTGAAAACCTATCATTTCCCACATTTTATATTGTAAATGGCAACACTGTTGTTGGTGTTTATTAAATGGGTAATCCCCGCTGGTTTTAAAATCGTGACGAGTCATGCGAATTTTGTTTTGTTCTGACAAATTGTTGTTTTAATACCATAAAAATTGGTTCTGTTTCACAGTTATCAATATTTCTTATTAAACTACAAGTTCAATAAATACGTACACGCAGCACAACTTGTTTTATTTAGTTCAGTGGTACTCGATTAATCCATATTGCACATGAATGGTACGCGAAAAAAAAGTTTGAGAACCGCTGATCTAGATTAAAGTTACAATTCTCCATGTAAAATCTTTTCAATTGTTTACTTGAGTAAATTAACTTTGAGATGAAAAACTCCTGCAATTAATTTTACTTGCGAATTTTGCTTGGAATATCTTCAGATGAAGATACACGACTTTTAAAACCAATGCGGGATATTTTAAAGGATTTATAAGATACATTTGTACTAAGGGAACAATTGCAGAAGTGTAACATTAATATTTCGGACATGGCAATTAACAAAAATCGTTAAAAAGGCCTTAACAGATTCCATTGCAGATGCAAAAAAACTTAAAAATATTGTCAATTCTATACTTTTAAATTTTGTAACCTTTCAAAAAAATTTTGAAAAAAAGATGGTGTAGTATTGGAAGATGAGGACGAACTGGGTGAGGATAAACACTCTTATGCCGCAATTATAGGTGGAATTTATAACCTGAAGGATCATGATTTATTATAAGAAAATGCATCAAGTGAAAATATGGATAAAAATAAACCGGTCAAAAAAGGGTTATAGGATTATGGTCGCTATATTTGCCACTTTAATTTTTATAATTTACCTACCACTTACGCCATCTCTGATTGGTGTGGTGAGTTATACTACCCACGAATTCAACCATCAGCTGGTTTATTCTCCTAAGAACAAATTTGCATGTCCGTGATGCGCGAATAGTTGAAAAGTGGATTGCATATGTGCCACTGTCCATTAAAAAATATTTCGTTTTTGTGGAATGGTGTTTTTTTATTTACTGAATGAACGCTTTTGAAAAAAAATAGTTATTAAGTTATTAAAAAAATATATTATTTACACTACATATTATTGAAATTAGTAGTTGGTTTTCGTGTGTTAATTTTGGCAAACTTGTTATAAGGTAGCAAAGTGCATAAGAAGAGAATTCCATTTTGGCCAATAAAAATATTGTTTATGTTTATGTTTATAATTCAGTATATTGGGTTTTTGGATAAACTTAAAAAAGCTACCAGGGTTTTACAATTTGAAGATTTAGAGCAAATGGCTTCAAATGATGTTTACGATATTCTGGACTCAATATAAATTTCTGAAGAGCAAGCTGAAGATTCAAAGTATGATGGAGACAGTGATGCAGATGATATGAATTTACATACAACTCATAATAGTTCTAGGCTTTCTCGAAGTTCGAAGTTCCTTTCAGCCATCTACATCAGCTGGACCAATGGATTGGAACAGTCACGATTCTATCAATGACCCAGATTATGTGGTTTATGTCAAACGTACACCCTTTTTAGATAATAATGATTCTTACGACGACGAAGATCTTGTGGCAAACACTACTAATATCAAGGTGATGCAATCGGCAAATTATAATTGGGTTAGAATGGCAAAAGATCCAGAGATGTATAAAAAAACATCATATTCTGTGTCTATACCAAATTTTTCTTTGAATTTTGGATCACCTAAATAAATATTTCTTCACTTTTTTTCTGAATGTAGACAACATTTTTTAGTTGAATCTGAACGATATGCTACTCAAAACCATATCAATTTAGATTTCTCTGAGAAGGAATCTGATGCTTTTTTGGGAATTTTGATTAAAACTGGGTTTCATGCGCTGCCAAGTTTGAGAATGTACTGGTCAACTGATCAAAATTTACATGTTTTAAGACATCTTCATGCAAATGCCTAAAAAGGGACGATATGGGTTTGATAAACTTTACAAAGTGAGGCCAGTAATAAATATTTTGACCAAAAAATTTATGGCATCCTTTTCTTAGCCGGAATGTATCTATTAATGAAAGTATAGTAGGTTTTAAATGCAGATCAAGTTTGAAACAAAATATGCCCTTAAAATCTACTAAAAGGGGTTTTAAAATTTGGGCATCACTTGTGCTTAAACTGGATATTCATATAATTTTATTGTCTACGAGGGAAAATCTGATTCAGTTTAGGAGGGTACTCTGGGAGAAAAAACCGTTTTTGATTTATCAGAATCTCTAAAATACGAATAGGTGTTTGTTTTTTTCTATAATTCAGCTTTTAACAAATTTGCTTAAGTTGGGGTTTTTTGCTTGTGGTCTAAGCCTTTTGTAATAATAAGTAGTTTTCATAATCCTTCTGAACAAGCCATTAAGGATTATAATAAGTTTATGGGTGGGGTTGATCATTTTGATCAGTTGTTAGAGTGTTATAATGTCTCCAAAAAATCTCGTAGATGGTGGGTAAAACTTATTATTTTCTTAGGCTTATTTAGATGGCATTTGTTGAATTCAAGTAAACATTTTTTTTAAATAATAAAAAATGTTTTGTCCTATAAAGGGTTAAAAAAAAATTTACACAAAATAAAAGATCCTTGAAAATAGTCCCTATCTTAAAGTCAAAGTTTTGAAAGATGAATTCCGGGTTGTTAAAAACTCCTCTTACTGCTGGTTCTTAGATTAATCAGATGAAAATGTTAGTGCGGATCGACTAAGACGATTTTTTCTTTTTAAATCTGATAAAAATTAACAGTATAAAAATATTTGTTTTTTGCCAACTTTGGTTCTGGAACCTAAAATATTATAATCTAGCCAGGCGACACAAATGCCGTGTTGGTAGTCAGGAACCATAGTTTTGGTTGGTGTTGCTGTCCAGTATTACTATCGTGTGTCCAGCAAAACTCCGAATAGGGTGTGTATTAAATTGATCTTTTAGTTATTTTTCTGTTTTTTTAATACTTATGTGTACTGTAATCTTTTAGAGTTGTAAGTTTGGGGCCTTGATATCTTTTACTTTGGGATTCATCAAGTTTTTTTTGCTGTTTGTGACCTGACAATTGGATATTCTGCTCCGTAGCTGTGTGTCTGGGTTTGTTCCAGTCCTGATTGCCGAAGATTCATCTGTACTGTACGAGATTGCCAATCAAAGATTGAGGATCGTAAATATTAATTTTTAAGTTTATTATATAATAGAACTACAGTTCTCATTTGGGGGGTTAATATTTTTATTTTTTTTTTGCGCCTATTTTTTTCAACATATTAACAACATCTGTAAATCAAAGATGGCAATCTACGATTTGTCTTTTAACAAACTTATACAGTGATAAATTTAGGTGTAATATCTTATTATTAAATTAGTAATGATTTTATGTTAATAAACAACTGTAGCTCATATAGCGTTTTTATTGCTACTGTTGTTACCATCATACCATATCAAAGCTTTATTATTGTCATATTTATAAGCAATGTGTATCTTTGAGACTTATGTATATCCTAATTTTTCTGTGCTAAAGTCTCTGGCGCCCATTAAACAGTATCAGAATCTTGTCTTATCTACCCGTGCCCGACTGATGCCAGCTGGCCGTACGCATCTAATCTGCTAAAGGTAATTGAGCAGGTTATACAAATGGCGCCCTTTTAACGTGGGTTTTTCGCAATTTTAATACTGTTTTTTAGCTTGGTATGGTTTTTGGAAGCAAGAGAAGCAATATTTGTGAGTGCAGTGAATCGGCGGTAATTAGGATAGTCAGCGCTCAGTATTTGAGATTTTAGAATTTTGGTGCACTTGATGCCAAATTTATTTATTGGGGTTGTTGAGAGTTGTAATATTATATCAGAGCGATATAATATTAAGTTTTGAATTTTTGATTAATGTTTATAACTAACAGGTATATTATATCAGAGCGATATAATACTAAGTTTTGAATTTTTGATTAGTGTTTATCACTAACGGGTATATTATATCAACGCGATATAATATACAGAGTGTTTTTTTTGTAGTGGTTTTAATATTATATCAGAGCGATATAATATTAAGTTTTGATTGGTGTTTATCACCAACTGGTACATTATATCAACGCGATATAATGTACAGTGGATTTTGATTTTCGAATTTGATTGTTGCGAATTTGGGACTGGCGTAATTTTCAATATTGCTACCGGGAGCCCGGGGGAATTTTTTTGTTTTGGTTCTGATAACCAACTTTAGTTTGATAGGGTCTTAACCTATTAGGGTCATAGTCAGGGTCCTTTCCTCTTCAAGGATAAATTTGCGTACATATTAGTTTAATTTTGCTGACGTTTATTTGCTTTTAACACATTTTTCTTTCACAACCTGTTAAAACAAAGTTTGGAAATTATTTTAGTTCAATTTTTTATTTGCACCTTTTTTGAAAATGATAAATTATTTTGACAATCCTTTTGATTTTAGCCTCTGTCTTTATTTTTAATCTAAGTGTATAATAAAATTATCAGCTATGTTATGGTCGATTTCCCTCTTTTTTATTAATTTTGTTTGTAATAATATTGTTCCAATATCAACATATTTATGGGTAAATATGTCCACTTCTAGAGGTAACCTCTGGCTTTTCACAGTTGCAAGAAAATTGCGAAACAGAATGTGTTCTTCAAAAAATGTTTTTGCAACATTAGGATTTAGTTCAGATAATTCTTGATATTCGACCAAATATATACACATGTTAAACAGAGTAAGTCGTAGGCTCGCCATCAACATCAGGGTAGCCTACAGGACAGTGGCAACAGATGCAGTGCTGGTGTTGGCGGGTCTGCCCCCAATGGACCACTACGTCACGCAAGCATTAACGGGACACGGGTCCTTCTCCACTTACCTGTTTAAAATCAAGAAAAGAGGCAACACACCCTCTTCGGCTGTCATAGGTTTGAGAAGCACAGAAAGAGAGCGGCAGGTAGATGTGAAGTCATAGAGGACGAGGAAAGGTGGGACACATTTACGGAGTGGCTAAGGGGAGTTATGCGAGCCAAATGTGAAGAAGAGGAAGACCATATCGACTTCCCTGAGTAACTTAGAAAGAGACATACCGCGGCCTGCCAGAAGTAATACCGAGTGGTGGTCCCTGGCTGGTCTAGCCGCGAAGAGAGGAAAGGGTTTTAGTGGGTAAGAAGAAGTTCGAGCCCCACACAGGCCCAGCGATAGGACAACAGCTGGGTACGTGCTTCAACACATTTACCAAACCTCTATAAAAAAAAGTACCTCACAGGGGGGCAAACAATTTTAAAGAGGTGACCAGGAAACGGAAACAGACTAGGACAGAGTCGTTTAGAAGTTCACCAACAAGGACAGGTTCTAGCAGCGTACTAACACCCCGACCCTCATTCATGAATCCCAATTGAATGGGGTTATTACTAAGACCCAGGTTGAGGACGAATCCGGATTGTACTTAGTTTTGGGTCAGTTCAATGTCCTCCAAAAACCACCACTAGCCCTCCTTATCCCGCACTCCTCTAGCCTAAATTGGACGTATGGCCCGACCCGGCTGACAAAAATCCGGGAGTGGCCTTAACCACAGACACTGTCATCCACGACCTCTTAGGGTGGATTTACCAGCCGGCGTAAAAACTTCGGATCCAACAAACACAGGTAATGCTGTGAATTGGCGGGATACGTAGGAGAACGGAAAGGGGGTAAAATAACCCTGGGAGGTTAGTGTAAGATAATGTCGATGGGGCCTGCCATACGTTCCCATACTCATACTTAATTAATAAGTAGAATAAAAAATTAAAAAGCAATATAAACAATAGCAATAGCAAAAAGTTAAGATAGTTTAAGCGGGTTGGATAATAATAGCGTTGTAAATTTAGGTAAAATGGGAGAACAATTTGATCTTAATTTTTTTCTCGTGTAGTCCTGGGAGAAGGTAATCGAATTGAAATGCCGTGGCGATCACTCTGGGTTCGGGTGGTTGACCGCCAATCGGGCCCGGCAGCAACGAAAGCTTCACAGGCAGGAGCCCGAACGACGACGACCAGTCCTCTCTTCTCCTCGAATCCCGGAGAAAGGTGAACAAATATTAAAGCCGCGGCGATCACCATAAATATTGGGGGTCGACCGCGGCTTTTGTCGTTGGTCACTTCAGCACACGTCCACGTCGTGAGAGGCGGGCAACGGAGTCACCAGAGGGGGCCTAGGCCCTGTCTTTGGGGGCGACGGCTAACATGCAAGGGAGCGGTGGGGAAAAAGTGGGCGGACCACCGCAGGCAGTACGACCGAAGCGCCCCCTAAGTTGTTTGCTAAGCAGGCCCGGCAGCAACGAAAGCTTTACAGGCAGGGGCCCGAGTTATACCGACTAAGCGTGCTCTTGACAGTAGTCAGACGTGCAGAGGGCCAGCCACCCGAAGCCGGCAAAGGCTCAAATCCAAATTCAAACCGGCTACGAGTCAAGAAAGGGTAACTCACGGAGGGGGGGATGACCAAGATCTCGGTCGCCCATTCGGAACCCCTGAGGAGGTCAATCATGACGGACTGGCACCGCAAATGGACACGATTGAACTCGAAGTTCCCTTTACAGAAAGATCGTGCAGAATGTGTCTCCAATCTGCAAAAGGGAACTTCCTGCACATGAGAATAAATGACGCTCTAAGCCATGCAAAGAAGTACCACGCAAGCAGTCGCGTGGTATTCAGGTGCACCGGTTGTATGAAGCTCTATCAGACAAAGTATGGCGCTCATGTGCATCAGGCGAAGTGCGCAGGCCCGGCCTAACCCGTACAAGACGGCTTAATATGTCAAAAGTGCGGAAAGGCCTTCCCAACAAAGCGCGGGCTCTCAACGCACCAACGCGCTTGCGACACGAGTACCCGAAATGAAGCGAGGGCCAAGACCGGTCCAGTTGAAGGTCTTCTCAGTCGAGGAGATACACCTCATGCTCGAGCTGGAAGTGCAGTACCACGGCAACCGGTTTATCGCAGCAACAATGGCGGCAGATGGAAGAATTGATAAGTCTGCCAAACAGATTCGGGATAAGAGAGCCATCCCGACATACAAGGCCATAAGAGAGGAATATTTAGCTCGACACCTCCCTGGTTCTGCCGCCATACCCGATAACGAGCGAAATGTTGGGGACGCTCAAAATGTTAGTCGGGAAGAAGACGTGCTCATCAACCAAAATCAAGCCGCAACGCTGCCGGTCGATGAGGATCCGCCACGTCTTGACTATCGCCGCCTCGAGATCCGGCACGAAGCACAAGACTCGGCTCCAGGAGACACGGACTGGAGAGAAGGGCCGTCGAAGCAGAACACACACCCCGAAGGCCGATCCCTCCCGAGTCAGCAGCAGCAATCAAGCTGCTGCGGGATGCCCTTCAATATGCCAGAGAGTCAAAGGGAAAAATTTCTCCAGGCTCATGTCGACCATATATACGACCTGGCAACCTCGCACCTCAGGTCCAACGGGGCGAGAGAAGGGACGCGCCATCCCCAAAAGGGTTCTGGCAAAGGAAGGGAACCAAGAAGAAGGTACCTCTACGCCAGAACCCAGGGTCTCTTAAAAAAAACCCAAGCATTGTTGCGAAAAATGTTAGGAACGGCGTCGACTGGCTCGTGGATAATCCGACGGCGTGAACAGGTTGTACACAGAGTTGTGGGAGCAACAACCTGCGATCGTAGTTCCTGACATGGGGTACCCTGAGGATTCTCTCCACGTGGGGGAGGTCCTCACGTCTTTCATTGCCAATTTAATTGGTAAAAGGGTCTCCAGGAAGAAGCCAAATTTGTTCTGACGTGAAGTCCTCCAGCTGCTTTTCAACTTCCTCTTGGTAGTTGGGAAGCAGCCCACGGAATGGAGGATGAACCGCACAACCATACTGCTAAAGGAGGGCAAGGACGGTGGTCGGCTGAAAACTACCGTTCTCTAACCATAGCCTCACTTCTGAGTCGCTTGTACTGGGGAATACTCGACCAGAAGATGAGGACCCATGTGCGGCTCGCAGAAATGTTTTTCTCAAGCGTCCGCCCGAGTCCCACCGCCTGACGAGTCCTAGCGATTTGCGTTTGCGCATTTCGTAGCCCGATTCCTAACCAAAGAAAACTTTAAGAAGTGTTTGCTTGTTTTTTATTAATTTTGATATAATGGAATCGAAGAAAAAAAACTGTTATGCTGTATATTTTTCGGATTTTTCACAAGTAGGTATAATTACAATCCAATTGTGGGTATAATGCATACTCTATGGTATAATAAAAGAAAAGTATGTAGTTACTTAAATAATATTTAAATCTAAAGTAAATCTACCTAAATGTAAATATGCACTTGACATGGTTTTCATTTACACGACCTATTTAAAAAATATATATTCTAAATTTTAGAAAACAGAAAACAAGTATATCACTTTTAGTGAAAAATCAGTGGAAGCAGCTAAAACATGGCATGAATTAGAAGAAAAGAAAAAAAAAGTAAGTGGTTCTGTAACTTTAACTTATTTAAATAAACCTTTGACATAACCCTGGATTATAAGTAATAAATTTATTTATTTTGTTGTCAGGAATACAGAGTCCTATGTGCGAACAACTCTGCGACTGTTAAAACCACTCTGCATAATGGACCTCAAGTAAGTTTTTATAAATAGGAAATATATATATATATATATATATATAATATAATATATTTTAAAATTTTGTATGTTCAGAATATTAATGTTTTATATTTTCTAGGAAAAAGAATTAAAACTCAGAGAAAGGTAATTTAATTTTGTTGCCATTTTTGGTGTGAAGAATAATTTTTCTGTACTTATGGTTTAGGGTGGTCTATATTTTTTATCTTGGTTGTGTCAAAATTTATGCTACAATATATATTAGCTGTTTAAACAGAAAGATTACAGCTGTTTTCTTAATAAAAATATTGTTTGTTTTTTAAACTGATAAATATTGAAAGTAATGGTTATTAAAAAAATCATATTTTTTAAGAAAACTGCTTTAATCTTTATAATTAAGTTGCAAAGTTTATATATATAGTTTGCAACTTAATTATTGCAAAGAAAAGGTGAATGGTTTTTGGTAGTTATAAGAAATGTATGCTTTTTATCGAAACTATACAGGATAGTACATGTATGTACTATCCTGGCCATTTAATTCTTGAAAATAATATCCACTTTTTATATTTATATCTATAGGATATATATAAACATTGGTCTACATTTAGTTGCTTTGAGTTATCACTTATGAAATACAAATTTTAAGGTAAATGGGTCATATTAAAATTAAACAATATTTTTTTTTGTAAATAATTAGATAATATATTATTGGCCGTACAAGTATATGGTATGCTCAGGTATTCACAAAATAAAAAGGATAACAAAAGGAAGTAAAACCACTAAACACTTATTGTATGTTATTTTCAATAGGGAATAATATTATATTATTTATTGATACATAATATGTATAATATACATATTATGTATTGATCAAAATTACAAATTAATTAGATTTTTTGGCCAAGGTGAATTAGACAATTAATAACAAAACAAAAATATAAATTTGGTGCAAAAAAATAATAAATAAGTAAAATTATCAAAAAAAAATTTTTGGTGCTAGTAATTTCATTTGCCTGTTTTTGAACGTTTTTCGTAATGCTTTTATTTATTTTAGCATTTATGCAGCATTTGTGGTCGGAATTTTAAAGCTGCATGCCGTCTAAGATTCCACAGCAAAACATGTGGAAGTATGAACTTAGAATGCCCAACTTGCCAAAAACTCTTCAAAACTCCAGAAGGGATTCAGAAACACCAACGTTTTGTCCACAACAAAAAACGGCTGATTTCTTGTCCAAAATGTATCAAACAATTTATATGTCCTGCAGATTTAAAGGCTCATTTTAATATACATGAAGGTGTACGGTTCAAATGCGACCATTGTGATTCGACATTCTCAAATATTTCAAATAAAAAAAAACATATTAAAAAATTTCATTAAAAAATTTACCTTTCTAATGCCTATTATTAGTAACACAACTAGCTAAACTGTGGGGTGCTTTACTTAGTTGACGATGACTTGCATATTTATGTTCTTGTAATTCTTTATGTTTACGTGGTCGCCCAATATTAATTGAGGAAGACGTTCCTCTTCCTAAATGTAGATTACGTCGACGAGAGACAGATGTAGGCTGAACACGAATTTTTTTTCCTCTTCTTTTAACTGTATATACATTAGTTGAAGAAGTGCCCTCTAAAAAGAACAAAAGATTTGATAACCTTTTTAAATAAATAATTATTAAGGAAGATACCATTTAATCCTTTACCAAAACAATATAGTGATGAAATTAAATTAGCATCTGTCTTTATTTGTTTGTATTTGTTTGAAAAGGCTTGTATAGCTGGCAAATAAATATCTGGCTTTTCTTTTGATTTGTTCAGCAAATCATTAAAAATATTTTTTAAATTTTCTTCAGCTTCTAGTATTGTCTGAAAAAATAATTGTTTTTTTGTCTTCAACACACTGTAATACACAGATACATAGATATGTATAAAAAATTACCATTTGGGCCTCTTGTTTTGGAATTTCATCAACAATATCCACTTGCATGTCATCATCATCACCAAAACAAGTATTGTCAAGTATATTTTGATTGCTTTCATCATTTGAAATATAACTATTATCCATGTTTCCTGATTTACTAGCAGAAATTGTCAATTTGTTACAACTGCCTTCTTGCTAAAATTATTAAATATGAATAAAAATTGTGTAATTGTTAAATTATACCTTAATCTGTGTCCTTAATGAATGAAAAAATTCTTCTTCCATTTCCTTGCCAGTTGCAATGTAATATAAATATTGTTTTTGTTTTGGATCATTTAAAGGCATTATATTTTGGTTGGTTACATTCATAAACTTAGCAACAGCTACTTGGTGTTTACAAAGTCTGCCATCATTTCCTATAGGACATTCACAATGAGCAAGGTCCATATTAACAGAATACCTCTTGTTGCTACTTTTTTCACTAGGAACAGAATAGATGTTGTTCTCTACCTATAAAATGGCATTATGGATTATACTATCTATTATAAAAAAAAACAATTTTAGCAAACCTTAATAATTTTGTCTTTTGCAAATTCAACATTATTATCCAGAAATGCCAATTTGCAAAGTGAAGTGCTTGTTAATCTATTGAATGCAACTTTAAGTATTTTTTGCTCAAAATATAGATCTAAACGACTTATAACAAAACAAAAAGTAATACAATCATAATTTTAAACCTTTAGGTATTTAATTCACATAATATACCTGAACAATATTGTATGCTTTTACTCTTTGAAGTATATAGTCTTTCATTATCATCATAGCTGATTCACAGATGTTATTCGTATTATTTCCTCGAACTAGCAATTTATTCCTATAACATAAGGCCCATTCATTTCGACGGTTCACATATGACTCTATATGTTTCAAATAATTAGGATACTTTTTTGCACAAGTGTCATTTAATAAACCCTGGTAAAGATTTTCCAATTGTTCCTCAGTAGGTGCACACATAATTACTTTAAATAAATTAAGCAGGTGACTACGATTATTTAACTCAATAGCATGCTTTTTATCAAACAACCATCCTCACAGTGCCTTAAACAATAGATAGTAATACCTTCCTTAAACCTTTGACTAGTTTACCTGTAGCACATGAAAGGTGCAAAGTAAGACAGCAGCTTTGGGCCAGACTTGTCTCAGAGCATTTCTTTCCGCTGTACAATCATCAGTCATAAATGTTAAAGGACCAATTAAATTAGACCTTCCTCCAAAAGCCAATTTGGGAAGTAATTCCTTAAAATTAAAGTATTGTTATAAAGCAACTTTAGATGTTAATTTTTTTCATTACCTGTATGGCCTTAAAAGCACCAGCCAATATATTCTGATTTTCAGAAGTTGCCAGCACAACTGCCAAAGGTACACCACCTGCATGACAACTTCCTAGCAATATAAAAAATCTAGTGCCATCTCGATCTACACCTCCACTAGAATCTATAAAGCAAGATTCTCCTAATTCAGGCATTAAAGAAATACGTAGCATCATTTTAGTGACCAATACAATGGCTACCTGTAAAATGTTGACTTAAAAAATCATTTGGTAAAATTAAATATTTAAAATGTTCCCACAACTCCTTTAATACTTATTAGAATTTTATTGAGATATATATCTTTTTATGAAGTTGAGAATAAAATTATCAAAGTAAAATAGACAGCAGTCCTTTTCTAAAGCTAATTTTTCAATTAGGTCTGCTTGTTTAATGTTACTTAAACTGCTGCTTCCATAATTAGAATTTGCTACTTTTTTGTGAAGACGATAGACCCATTGATAGTTTGGACTCAAACTATTGTCCGAAAGAATTACTTCATAACCATCTGGGTTTTCTAAAATTATGTCTAAATTATGAGCTTGAATGCTTGAAGCTGGGGTATGTCCACTCTGAAAAAGTTTTAAGAACTTTTCTTCAACTACTTTAGATGGCTTTCAAAACCTTAATGAATTAGCAGCCAGAATTGGATGATTATGGTTAAATCGAACTGTAATCAAAGTATATGTATTAAGATAATCCAACAAAGGCCTTGTTTTTTTATTTGAATCTTTGCAGGACATTGTGTATTTTTTGACCCATATTTAAAATTTTCTTTATCAGGCAACTTTCCATATGT